CCACTACGGGTACGACAACACTTGATCGCGGCGGCAGGTTCACGGGGTCGGCAGCGACTCGGACGGCGGCTGACGCTGTTTGAGGTTTCTCTGAAGACGGAACAGGCTTGCGCAGCGTCAATCTGTTCTCACCAAGGTCGATGACGGCGCCGTATTCACACAGAAAGTCCATGCCGAGAATAACGTCTCTGGAACAGTCTTGTAGAACGATGAACTTCACAGGGCACGTTTCACCGCGGATTTCGACGCGAGCAGTGCATCTCCCGATGGGTGTGATGAGGTGCCCTCCGGCGGTTCGTATTTGAGGTCCATCCCACGGCGTCGTGACTTTTCGAAGGCGGCGGGAGAGCCTCCCACTCAAGACTGAGTAGTCTGCTCCGGTGTCCACGAGTGCAGATGCGTCGTGGCCGTCGATGACGACGTTTAGGTTATTGGACACCACTGCAGCGGCGTCGTTTTGGTCTCTGGTAGCGTTCGAGTGGGGGTCCCCCGACGTTCGTGGAGGATCTTGGCGTCGGTCGTCATCGGCAACTCCACCCCCAGGGGTTGCCGCGCCTAGTTTCCCCGGCGAGGAGCAAGGGGGGACAGGCTTTCACGTCGTGGTCGGTGCATCGGCGAAGCTGGACGTCGCGGTGACGGCGACCGGAACTCTCGGCGGGACGCAGGCTCGGGGGACTGAGGTCGTCGCAGGTACTCGTCGATCTCGATAGGGCGTTCACCATGACGGGGGCGCGGGTCGTTCGGGTGGAACCCGCGTAGCCCGAGTCGTCGGTATGGGCATCGGCGGTAGGTGTGGTCCGCTTCCCCGCAATGAAAGCACAGAGGGCGTCGGTCGGGCGTTCGCCACACGTCGGTCTTGCGGGGTGCGCGGGGCTCCGGGCAGGCGTACTGGACCTGGTCGTTGTGGCGTCGGTCGTGCTGCGGCGCAGGAGACTGACGTCGGGCGGCGTGACATAGGTGCGACGAGGAGGCGGTGGCCGTCGGGCCACTGCGGCGTAACTCAACGTGGGTGGTTCCGGAGCGGTGCTGACGAGAACCTCAGGCTGCAGCGCTTGCTGGACTTCTTCCCTGACAATCTCGGCGATTGAGGGCGAAGCTGGGCTTGCGGCGGCAGGTAGAAGTTTCTTGATCTCTTCCCGGACGACGTCTCGGATCATCTCGCGGATCTCCGTGGTGTTGCAGCCGGAAGGCGAAAAGGAACCGACGCCGGGAACTCGGTGATAGTGGGTGGCTCGTGCTAGAAGGGCACGTTCGACGTTAGTGGCCTCCGTCATGAAGCCTTCGACGGTGGTAGGCGGGCTCCGCACAAGACCACCGAAAATGCTTTCCTTGACGCCACGCATCAAGACTCTGAGCTTCTTTGCTTCGGATGCTTCGGGATCGGCGCGGTTGCTCAGTCGCAGGACATCTTCCACGAAGCTAACGATGCTCTCGTTAGGGCCTTGAATCCTCGCTTGAAGAAGCTCTTCCGCGCGTTCTCTTCGGTGTTGGCTCATGAATGTTCTTCGCAACTCAGCCTTGAGTTGCTCCCAGGAAGTGATCGAAGCTTCGTGGTTCTCGAACCAGTTCCGGGCGGTGGCTTCCAAGGCGAAGTAAGCGTTTTGCAGACACTGTTCCGGTGTCCATCCGTTATGACGGGCCACTCGTTCGTACTGTTGGACCCAGTCGTCGATGTCTTCGTGGCTTTCGCCGTGGAAGGGAGCCGGTGTCCGAGGAGCGACGGGTAGGTAGACGACGGCAGGAGCGGTGGGGGCCTGCGACTGGTTGTCCATCGTCGTCTTCTTCGGCTTGGGTTTGTCCAGCAGCAAACCGTACTCCGGATCCTCACCGTTGGTGCGGCGGCTGGTCCGAGTTTCAGGTTCCGCGCTGAGTGGTCTTCTCAGCGAGCTTGGAGTCGGGCTTGCACTGCGGGTCCTGGGAGGGGAACGCTGCACGGGCATGCGGTACCCCGCACCTCCACCAAAATGTCACGGGTAGTGACCAATAAACAATAATAAACAGAAAGAAATAAACGTTTAATGTGGCGAACTTGTGCCAAAAATAAAAGGGTACAAGAGATAATAACGGAGCGTCGCGGGCGTCGGAGTCGGCGTAGCAGCAGAGTCGAACGCTGGGCGAAAACTGACTGCAGATCAGCACGCGGAGTCCCTTATGTACCGCGTTGGGTTCTGGAACAATCGGCCTAGATTGTTCGGCGACTGGAACATTCGGAACTCGATCTGACGAGAATGTTCTCGAACTCACGAGAACGCAAAGAAAGAACAAATAAAAGAGCATTCCACTAACTGGATTCGAACCCAGACTTTCTGCGCGACAGTCAAACACGGTAACCACTCGGCCACGCGCGCGGTCGCTCGCCGACGAGCGTGGCAATATTCACAAAAGTTTCAATTAAACTAACAAAACTATAATGACAGGTTTAATATATCGCCTCCTCCACAGTCGTTTTTTTCTCTCAGGTATGGGACACTACAACATACTGTGTTTTCAAGGTGCTCATCTTGTTTTCAAGATGAGGGACTTACAATCTGTTGCCTTGAGGTTTATCAAAATCAAATCGCTCCCACTGCTCGTAGTTCACACTGTAAAAAGTGACATAAAAAATAAAAAAAAGTCCTCAAATGTATTGATTCCTGGCTTACCGGTCACACTGCACTGCCAGTGGGACTCGTAACATTTGGAGCCTTTGACTAGCAGAGAACAGGCGTCCGGGCGTTTGGCTCTCGCATTCGAACGCGTACGACGAGTGCAGTGGAGACAAAGGCCATGCTAGCTTTAGGTCTACCCACTAATTATTCGAATCGGGGTACGGCGTTCTGATGTACCCGCGCGCTCTAGTCGCCTCCTCTCCATCAGTCGCTCGGCGCATAGTGGCAGCAGAGAAAAGCTGTATTCCCAACTTTCACGACCTATACACCTTTCCAGCGGCAGTCTCGAACGAAGCGCCCGGGCGGAAAATGCCGAGTCACTGGGCTGTGGACGCATGCCCGCACAGCAGACCAACAGCTCATGCTCTAATGCGTTCCACAGCCCAGCAGACAAAGATGGCAGCGCGCAGAAGGAAATTTTTGCAAAGGCCTATAGGGGCCGCACTGGCGCCTATCAAAATGGCTGTCATCTGGATGATCGTCGTAGAACAGCATTACGAGGCTGGCTCTGCGGCGTGTCACTAGTTCTAGTTTTGCTTTATACGAGAGGGATTAGAGCCTTGACTTTATTTTTTCACGTCGGGAAGGTCTGAGAAAGCCCCTTTACCGTGAAGCCGATCGCGATTTTCACACCGCGCGGTACCAGCAGGGAGGAGCAAAGCGGTCGGCTGAAAAGGCCCCTTCAGCGCCGTGATAATCACATATCCTTAGCACGCGCTGCCAGTAAAAGGTCCAAACGGATGGGATTTCGACCGAAACCGAAGGCCCTTTTACAAATCACTTTGAACTAACGGCTGTCCACTCGTTCCGCGCTTTCAAGTAAACGGGTGCATGCTATAGCCCGTTAACCGTTTTGAGTTTTGGGGAAATTCCTCACTCTGAACTGCTTAATTGTTGTCTTCAAAATAAAGTTACATTTGTTGCCTTCAAAATCACGTTTCAAGCCATAAACGAAATGGAAGCGAACCTGGTTCGTTCAGAAAGTTTGAGTGTACGAACCGAAAAAAGCAGACGAGCTGTGTTCGTCCTGAGCGGTATGGGGACGTCTCCACGTTGACGATCTAGGCTCGTCCAAAACGGTCAAGGGGCTGGTTGAAAGGGATACCTTTCCTTTCACCATGGGCTCTCACCACGGTGTCAAGGGGGCAGCCCAAAACCGCGGCCAGTCTGCTCGTTCATCATACAGAAAAACAGGGCGCTCGCTGCAGACATGGTAGAATTATCTGCGGACTCACGCAGACACGTTGAAAACATTTTTCTTTGCGTTCGTGCGCTTCGAACCGGTCTGTACAGAGTGTTTTCAGGACCAATCTTGACAGGGCCGTCGTGAAAGGAAGGATCGATGGATGGATAGATGTCAATGGCTATGCCCTTTGTAACGGGCGGTAGCTTGCGCCACCTAATCTAAGTCTAGAAAGACAAACACGCCTCAGACAGTGTCCGCAGACTGTCTTTTGCACGATGTATTAGAGCAGCGTTACCGCGGCTCGAGGAAAGTTGCCTTCTAGCATCCCCTTTTCGAAAAAGTAATTTTTTTTTTCCCTCCGAGCCAACGTTACTAGAACAGCTCAGTTGGAAAAATGCCGTAGAGCCTGCTTTAAAAAAGTGGCTCCGATCCGTACTCGAGAACCGAGCTAATGGCGATCGCAACGCCGCCATTTCTCCCGCAGCGTTCACTCCGGGAAATGCAAGGTTACACGTCGAGTCAGGCAAGGGCCGGTGGCGCCATCTCGCAGGGCCATCTCGCAGTAGCTATGTAAAGCAACTTTCACGTTTCCGCTCGTCTCTAAAGGGTGGCAATGTTATCGTATTTAGCTCGGTCTCGGTGGACGCCAGCGGCCCAGGTTTCAAGGGTAAGTTACCCAATTGAGAGTTTTAGTAACGTTGCTCCGAGCTTAGCTCTTATATTTATCGATACCTGAGATGACTACCGAAATCACGGACAGGGACCGAGGACTGCTTTATATATGAACGCGGACAGCTTAGGAAACACAGGGCGTGTCCCATAACATTCGCGTTTCTGCTTCTTCGCAATTTGTTTTTATCATCTTATCAGAGAATGTGGTATTATCTTATCAGATAATACCACATTCAAGAGACAAGAGGCAAGAGGACTGCGGTGTTATATTATCAGATAATACCGCAGCCTTCTTGCTTGTGGAGTGATACAAAAAAAAAAATGCTCGGGTCACGCCACATACTGCGTTTCTTACTCTTGCAAGTGTCGATATATATATAGTGCAGTTCGAATATTAGAACACTCGAGAATTCTCGTATATTCCGTAAACGTATACACGTCAACTGCATTCCATTCCCTATTGTATATATGGGCCAGTTCCCGTCCACGCTTACTGTTTAACGTCCAGATCTTCATTGTTCTCGGCCGCTTTGCGTAAGTGTTCGCAAGTCAGCTTCGCACAGTCTTGAATAAGGCCATTCATCTGCAATAGGGAACAAAACAGCGTTATTGAGAGAAGAAAAAAAAAAAAAAAAAGAGACGAAGGTGGTGGATACAGAGATCGTCTCTTGATATGAAATAATGAAATCTAAATGAATAAAGTTGAACGGAGACGTCTCCGCTTTAAGCCGGGAACACATTTGCGAAAAAAAAGCCGAATTTTGTGCGAAAACCGCACGGCAGCTAGGCTCCTTTCCCTTGCCCTTCCCCTTTTCCGAAAATCGGGAGCGGTTCGAAAGATCTGCAGCGCCAGATATTTTCGCACGGCGCCTTTGAATTCGGGGTGGAGGAGCTCGGTGAGCGAAAGCCCGGAACAGGACAGAACGAAACGATACGACCGGCTCGCAACATGGCGGCTCGCGCAGCTTCGGAAGCAGCGCAGGCAATATGCCATCCCTGCGTTCTCATCTCAACCTTCGTAGAAAACCCCTTCTGTCTCTATCAAAGGGTGGTGGTACAAAGGCTCGCGTGGCATTCAACGAGGTTTTAATAGCTGAAGTTTTTAAGAGGCGCGAAATATGGGACGCCAGTTCGCCAGACTACCGCACAGCCTCCTGAAGTCGGAGCACGAAAACCGCAGTGCATTGCGATTTCCGCGCCCTGCATTCCACCTCATGTGGCTCGTCTTCCGAAAATCGCAAGCTACGATTTTCGCAGCCTCCGATTTCTCTACGATTTTCGGTTCGTTTTTTCGCAAATGTGTTCCCGGCTATAGACCCACATCGCATAGCAAATCGACCAAGAGCGATTCGCAGATTGAAAAGTGTAACTCTATGGCGACTGGCATTATACGAAACAAAAGGAGTGGCAAGTCCTGGGGCTCTAAACTCGTCAAACACAAAGTTGGGGCCGAAGTGGACGGAGCACAGAGATTGGACTATTGCGACGATGACTTCGCGCTTTTGTCGCCGTCGCCCAATCAACGCGCTCTGCGAACTTTTGGCTCCATCTGAGCATATGGCTGCGCAGCCAATGAATTTGTGGCATTAGCCGACAAGAAGGCCGAAGTACGTGTCGTAAAGCAGAAAGCGCAAACATTGTGAGCTACCAGGGGCACACGAAAGCCGCTGACATGCTCGTCGAACGTACGCGGAGCGCAAGTTCGTCTGCTTCTTTCTCAGGGGTTGCGACGATGTCAGAGCGCCGAGCTCTTATTGGCCGAGTAAGAACAAACAAACGAACAAACAAAAACAGTGGTTAGATTTTGAGGCATCTGTACTTCCTTTCCCCTTTAGTCCAGACGCAGCTCAGGCAACGGGCTGATGAAACCAATCAGACAGCATCATAAGCGCACCATCATGGTCTTCGTTTTGTTTCCTCATGCGTGTACTATCATCACTGAACCAATCATAAACAGAAAAGGGCCAGTACCTCGCGCTTTTGACGCCATTTGATTGGTTTCTCTAGCTCGTAGCGTCGCTTGCGTCTGCAATTTAAGGAACACTAATACCCCCCCCCCCCCCCCCCTACACACACACACACACAAAAAAAAATGTTTTGCTATACTCCGCGACAACTTTTCTTGGCAATGCAGTGGAAGGTAGAGGCCCGCGTCCCCTCTCCCATTTTGAGTGTACGCAGGCTCCCCTCCTCTCCCCGGAAATGGGGGAGGAGGAGAGCCTGCGTACACTCAAAATGGGAGAGGAGGAGGATTTATTATGATGTCAGAAGACTACCCAATCAATATTTTATGTAGCGTCACGTATATTTTTAATAAAGACAAAAAAAAAAAAAAAAAGGAAAGGCAACTGCTCGATACCGAAACTCAAACTAGACTCGGAAGAAAGAAGGAATATAGAGGAAGAGAAAGTTACCCGATCTCGTGCCTGTGCTAATTTTCTATTTTTCTTCAATGAACGTACTTGCAACTTTTTATAAGCCACAAAATGTGGGTATCATATTTTTAGCTTATTTTTAGTATTGACTGTGGCTTCGATGACCTACGAGTTTGATTCCCTTGGGTGGTTGTGTCTAAACCATAGAAAACGGCACGTGACTATGGAGAACAGAATGAGCGTGACTCAAATGAGCCAGTTCCCCATCGGCAGTTTCCGGCCGGGAAGCAAACAGATTTCGAGCCGCAAATTGCGTTATGTGCAGTCTGGCGTTCATATGTCATGTATAAAGAAAACCTTGGCGAGCATAACTACCCTGTCAGTGTCCCTTTTTAAGCCGAAACGAAGTATAGAGGCTTTACACACGCGCCAGAATACAGCCGCCATTGCTGACCTTCTCTTGTCTTACGGAGATACCGAGCCATTGGAACGGGTGTTGACGAGCATCCAGAAAGGCCAATGCTGGGAAGAAGGACACAATGGAATCTAAGATGGCAAAAACCTGGACTGCTATGGTAATGACGAAGTGAAGAAAATGGAATAAGCGGAAACAGAAACTGAAGGTCAGTTATGGCGGCGCCCATGCACAACTGCTGTAAAGCGTCTGTAGCGTTGAGATCTACCCGCTATCATTTCGATCAACGCCAATCAGAGCTCGGCATCGTTCTGACGTCACCGCAACTCCAGCAAAAGAAGCAGACGACTCGCTCTCCCAATTAAAAAGACACGGTGTTCGCTGCTCGCGTTATGACCGAGTCCCCCTAGAGCGAAAAAACAGAAACAAATGACAGCGACAAGCCCCAAACCAGAGTCTTTCGCGATTTGACAAGCTTTGTAGAATAAAGAAGGCTTTGCTCAATCCCAAGCGTCCTGCACGCATGGGTACCTGTGAGAGGCTTGCAATCACTCGCGCTTACTTCACGAGCACCGAACGACTAAACGCCTGCCAAAGGTACCATCGCGAACATGCTACATGGGTTCGAGGCTTGTCGCTGTCGTTTGTTTCTGTTTGTCGAAGGTCTACGCAGACAGTTTTTAAGGCGGAAGCCTTACTTGTCCCATATGCGAAAAGGCGGCGGCGTTGTGCCCGAAAGATGGTCACACCAACACGTCATCAGGCACGTGCCTCAAGCGCGAGACACATGCGCGAAAAATCCGTCCGATCCGACGTCCGATCCGGCAATACGACTGCCTGATCCGAAAAATTTGGTCGCGTCAGGCGTCGGATCGGCGATCCGACGTGCGTCCAACGCGCCAGATAGTTTCGCACGGCGGACGGATTGTCGGATGCGTCCATCCAATGACAGCACAGCTAGCGCGAACGTCATGATGACGTACTGGGTCTGTCGGGACGAATCAGGAAACGTCGCTTATGGCCTGAATGTCCAACGAGACTGAATGTCTAACGAGCCTGAATGTCCAATCGGTCACGTGACAGGCGAGACGGAATGTACAACGAGACGAAAGATCCAATCGAGACGGAATGTCCATCGAGTCTAAATGTCCAAAGAGACGAAAGGTCCAATCGAGAGGGAATGTCCAACGTGCCTGAATATCCATCGAGACGAAAGATCCAACCGAGACGGAATGTCCAACGAGCCTGAATGTCCAACGAGTCTGAATATCCAACGGATATAGAATGAACCTTGTAAAGAATTTAGAAGACATTTCTTTGTTGAATTGTAGGATTACTGATAGTTACGGCGGTGAAAAATGCGTTCGATGAAATGGGGAACCGGACATTTCGGTGCGGAGATGTCGGTACGCGATCATTTCGGTATGTGATCGCTTCAGCACCGGGCTTTTCAGTACCGGGATTTTTGATGCACGGCTATTTTGGTATGCCGCTGAGCTTGTCTCAATGATGTTGCCTCTGTGAAGTCCCCAAAATGAAATTAAAATTATGCTCGTATATTTTGTAGACTTCATAAAATCCCAAAAACAATTCATTTATTGTTCGTTTTATATATCTAGATATAAAGATGATTTCTATAATTAAAAAAAAAGACGTTTAAAAGGTCACACATGCCACAAGATCAAAGACCGAACTCGTTGACCATTGACAACCTGTCACGCGTTTGATTTTAGAAGGTCGTACCTCTGGAGCGGAAACAAATGTGGGACCCACGAGCGTCCTCAGCCACCGTTTTTTCCGTATTGTACGAGTTGCTGATTTTTCTTATTCGTGTTCCTAGTCCCGCAAAGATGATGTCCCTCGCATGGGAGAAAAGCGCCTGATTGAATTTTTAGTATTATAATTATTATTAGGTGAAGTCGGTGTAGTATGTGTAATTACTCTAAATTGTAGTTTTTGTTTTCTTCTTTTTTACAGAACGAACGTGAAAGTTTCAGACATTTCTGATTAGACTTCTCGGTCCCCAGACCGAGAAGAAATCAGCGTTCCTTCTATTAAGCCAATACGACGTTCCTTCCATTAAGCCTTTGTGCAGCTAATCTCCTCAATTGGTGATTGTGCGGAGGATTCGGCACATTGACGCTTATCGCGACGATTAGTTTCGCATGCTTCGGCCACCAAAGCGATTGCTGTCGCATTGAACCATGTATTAAGCAACAAGTAGGTAATATTAATAATTATTACAATACTTTTTTGGGTTGGTTGCCATCGTTTCTGCCTTTCCTGGTCACGTGGCATGCAGCAATCGCACCGATACGCGCCCATGTAGCATACCAAGGCTGCGATCGGATTTCAACTGGTTCTATCTCTGTCACAGAGCCGCTGCGACAGTGCGACCGTTATTTATTCATATGCGTACATTACAAGTGCACATATGACCACTGCATCAGGAGGTCAGCCCCTCGCTCGGTCTTCCCAAAATCCATAATGCTAGAGTTGCGAGTGAACGTATACTCACGAAGAACCCGACATTTATCATCTTGAATAACCCGGGTACGATTCACAATCGGACCCTTGCCAATTCTGAGAGCTGCATTTGTCATCCTCTCTTTTTTTAAAAGAAGGTCTAACTGTTGGTAACCGGACAAAAGCTCATTGGACAAAAGCTCACCGGGCAGAAGCTCACCGGACAAAAGCTCACCGGACAAAAGCTCACCCGTTTTTTCACAAACCCGGACAAAAGCTCACCTCATTTTTTTTTTTTGCTACCCCGGGTGAAACACGGGCTGTTATAAAGTACGGACGCGATGGACATTCCACCATTTTTATGAGAACTGGCATCCCATTCCATGTAAAGGTGTCGACAGATAAGCTATTACAGGCAGAGAAGCAACGATTTGGGACCAACATTTAGGTCACTGAAACTGAGTGAAGCTGATAAGATCAAGCTTCCTTCACTCAAGGTATGCCGGAGCACCCGTGTGCCACGTCCAAGAAACTTCGTGAACCGAAGGTTTTGAACCCGAAGAGTGACCGAAGAAGCGAAGTCACCCTTTGTCGACCTCGCGTTTTCATTGTGCTTATGTCACGCTAAACGCGCACATAAAGGTTAGGCACAATGTCACTTCATTACGAATGCATGGGTTTTTTTAATTTAATTTATCGTTGTATTTTAGTGTCGTACGCATGCATCTAAGTTGTCCGCACACGTGTTAAGACCAACATGAAATTTTCTCCTGGTGAGCTTTTGTCCGGGTCTGTGAAAAAATGGGTGAGCTTTTGTCCGGTGAGCTTCTGTCCGGTGAGCTTTTGTCCGGTGAGCTTTTGTCCGGTGAGCTTTTGTCCGGGATTCCTAACTATTGACCATCACCGTCACCGGCAATCTACACACCCAACCCTAATCAACTCTTTTCGACAATTTGACAAACGCGGACTTTTGCCCCATTCTTCGAATCGGGACGAATTGTCCTTCTTCCAGTTGTCCAGAGACCGATGGAATTTCTACGAAGTGACCGGATTCGTTGCGCAATACGCTTCCCCTACAAGAATAGAAAGCCACGTGGAACGATCTATTGTTATATTCACACATGATGCAGGCTATTAGTACATCCGGGTGTGAACCTTCTGCTGCACGCCGAGATAGATGCGTTCGCGTCCTTTATCAGCAGTCAAGCTCCCACCTACCGAGACGTCACGAACTACCTCGACAGAATGGCGAGTTTTGGAGTGCTTCCAGAAGGCAGTTAAATTGCACGGGCTTCTGAAAACCACTGTGCATGTCACATGCAAAAAAAAGGAAAAAAAAGTTGCGTACTGTGTGATACTAGTATTATCGTTCTACTCACTGACATACAAACCTATTGGTAGAGAATGGATGCGTATGTAAACTACTGACGACTAAAGTGTACAGTGAGTAGTTGTCTGTTCAAGCGAACAAAAATAAAAAATTCTCAAATTCACACAATTATTCCGCATTTACTCAGGAATTGTCGGGTCACACCAGCCACCACCCCCATGCATTTACAGGCGCGTTAGATGTAGATTTTATTAAAAAAAAAAAGATATCTATATTTTTTTTATTAGTGGGAAATAACGCTTGTGGAAACTCTTATGCATCGCACCCACAGCTCCCAAAGCTCATTTAAAAAAATTAAATATTGACTCTGCGCATAGTCAGTGGCGCTGGCGGGCGGTCAAGTGTTTGCAATGCCGATCTCCGTATGTAGCTCATCTATAGATCGAAGCGGGCAGGGATGAGTACTGAACTAGAAATTCCTGGGTTCTGAAGCGCGGCCTTTATAGACGTCCCCCAATTGCGATCCACTAGAACACCCGTAAATTGCATCCCTATTATATATTTCAAATTGGCTGACTTATGTCATCAGAATATTCCAAACATTTGGACTGTTAATATCAAAGGAGCGTTTGGCGTCGTACAATCAACACCTTTAACCGATTAGTACATAGCTGCGCATCGGCACTCAGCTAACTAACCATCAAGTCTTCCTATAGATCAATTTATAATATTTGTGTCTGCTCTGTTTTTTTGTCGGTCCGTCAACGTCGGCTTTTGTGGCACGACATTTTAGTATGATGTCGCTACGGCAATGCCTGCAGGAACGCGGACTAAATATACACACAAGTCTGTAGATTTAAGAGGGCAAATTATTCTAGCACGTGACAGGCGAGACTGAATGTCCAACGTGCCTAAATGTCCAACGAGACGAAAGATCCAACCGAGACGGAATGTACAACGAGCCTGAATGTCCATCGAGACGAAAGATCCAACCGAGACGGAATGTCCAACGAGCCTGAATGTCCAACGAGACGGAAGATCCAACCGAGACGGAATGTCCAACGAGCCTGAATGTCCAACGAGACGGAAGATCCAACCGAGACGAAATGTCCAACGAGCCTGAATGTCCAACGTGCCTGAATATCCATTATTGGATCTTCCGTCTCGTTGGACATTCAGGCTCGTTGGACATTCCGTCTCGTAATCGGAAACGTGACGGGCGACGAGAAGCCGGACGCGTGGATCCCGCCGACCCATTCGAGGAAGATGGCCCCGGCAAAGAATGCACGCGCTAACGAGAACGAGCTTCTAAGTTTGCTCGTGTGAGCTAAACCGTCAATCTGGGACCAGAGATCTGCGAACGCGGACCTCCGCTGGAGTGCTTGGATCTCCTGGGCGGAGCCGAACGGATCGTCGTGTCGCATGCAAGGTCGGAAGCGTGTGTCAGGCGTTCGGACTGTCGGATCGGAAGTCGGATCGGACGATTCTGTCGTCCATGTGTCTCGCGCTTCAAGAGTAAAACACGAAGAAAAGCACAGCAACGCAGATGCTTTGTCACGGAAGCCTGCGAGGGCGCTCAAGGTCAAAGCGGACGCGCCTCAGAAATAAAACACAAAGAAAAGCAGAGCAACGCGGATGCTTCGTCACGGAAGCCGTCGTGAAGCCGGCCGGGTACACCGCGCCTGCGCAGAGGGGGAGCGAGATGTCACCGCCGGAGCGCAGTGTAAAAAAGGAAGACGTGGCGCGCTGCTTGTAAGAATGCGCTGCGTGTAGGAATGCGAAAGCATTCCTACAGCCTTAAGTGTCTCCGCCGATTTTTTTTGTACAACCGATCATACGAGAACAGTCTGGAGACTGTATGATGTATTAGCAGTCTGACCGCGCCTTCGGAAGATTTTGGAGCTTCTACATTTCCGCAAATTCCTGGAGAGAGAGCCAATCGATGCAATCTAAGGAGAGAGCACGACGAGACTGAAAACAAATTTGCTGAAAATACGCTTGTACCGAAACGAAGACAGACTGCGCTGTGGCACTAAATATAGGGTGAAACGTCACGCTCAGTGCCAGAGCGCAGACCGTTTTATTTAGGTCTAATCGGCAACAACGCTCTCCGCTCGTGCCGGTTGGCGCCGTCACAATATACATAATCAGCCTCGTCATTCGCCATCCTCCCCCACCTCGCCCGCCCCGTAAATAGCACCGGTCGGTTCTTCCCGAGTGTTTTGCGGGAAAGTAGACGCTCCGGGTTTCTTAGAGCGCATGTTTCTTAAGCTGGCATTACCATATAGCAATACACATAGGTGTACTTACTACGGTTATCCTACCTTCATCTGATATATGTATATATATATGTATTTTTTTTGTATAGAATGAAAATAGAGACGCTAGACCTGCACTCATAGACAGCTTAAAGGAGCTGTGCAACGATATTCAATTGGAATGTTTTTCTCTCTGCTTACTGGCACAGCCGGGACTCAAGGATACTCACGCGCAACGCCATTGGCCAAGAAACTCCTTTGTTGCGGTGTAATTTCAAGGACAAAAGAGGTCATTTTCATTCAATCTCTCCTTTGCAAAATTTGATGACGTAACTCGGGGATCGCAGTACACCCAAGTGACGATATTTGAATGCGGTTCATAGATTGGACCCGAGCATTGCGTGGGCACTCGACTTGGGCTCGTGACAATTGCTAGCTCGAGAAGCATTCGGGTTGTGACCCGTGTCCAATCGCTGCAACGACGACAACAGCCGAGTCATAACAATGTCTGGAACTCAGCGCGTGTCCTGTGCTTTGCCAACCCCAGCGCGTGGCTATGATCAACACTGGCGGCATATAATCGGCTCCAGATCACGTGGCCGCTTGTTCTGGCTGCGAGTTGAGGGGGTGAACGCTGCTCGTTTTTCTTAAATTTTTTTCTGGGACTTCTATTGCGTGGGGTGAAAAACGAACGCGTGTTTCATAGGTCATTAACGTTAGGGATCCGTTTTAAGCGGTATTTGTGCACAGTACAAAAATTGTTGCACAGCTCCTTTAAGCAGGCGTAGCTTATTTCCACGCTTCTTGTTTTGTGATTGATTGTTCGACGTTCTCATCTGTAAATTCTGCACTTTCATTGGCAGTGGGGCGATATTAAGACCGTCAAGACTCGCCACGAGCTCCATGCTTAACGGTTGCAATGAGCTCGGCTTGCCGTCGTTCGCTGCAATGAACTCCGCTTACCTTGCGCAACTTTCCGGTAGAAAATGCGGGGCTGACCGCGGGCCGAATCTTCCTCCACCGTTCCACGGTTGCGGAGGACATCATGTTGTCCAGAACGTCGTCATTAAAACAAATTTCCTGTTGATAAAACACACTGAGAGATTTATTAAAGAAAAGATTCACACCACCTTCGACATTTGATTAGATCCAATGAAGGTGCGATAGCACCCATACGCAGTTCCTACTACGCAGCCCCTGTTCTAACACAACGGAAAGGTGTAGGGGGTAGGGGGCTAGAGTGGAAGAGGAGGGACAGCACATCGCTTATCCGTGCACGCCGCGCGGCGGTACGCCATTGGTCGTTTGCGCCGTATGTTGTCAATCCATCAGCTGCGCTAAATGCTGAAGTTTCTGCGTCACCCTATGGAGGCTTATGCTGGGCGGAGATTGGACGCGAGTACTGCTTTTGCATTCGGCTTAGACTCGCGCCCTCGCTAATTGGACACGAGTTCGAGCCAAAGGCTGGCGGAGCAGTCGTGCTTAATCCACGGCCCTTCTTCGCCTGGGTGACGCCGAAAATTTTTTGCACTATGCATGGTCTTTAGCTGGTGTTGGCTACGCGTCCCGTTGCTGACTCTCCCTTTCTGTCCCTCATGGCCTTGCTACGGCGCGACTAACACCAACATAGCAAGCAAGGTATATACGTGCAGAGTTCGCATATAGATAGCTTCACTGACGTCACTTGGTCAGACATAATAAGGGGAAGGGCACGCGCGAACGTAGCTTTCGGCTGCATTAGTCCGACGCTTCTGGTCAGCAGAAAGAAGGGCGTACTACTGACTGACGTCACGTGCAAGCTTAAGGCCCGTTCACACTCTTGCGACCTCTTAAACCTAGGTTCCTTACAACTTCTTAAACCAGAAAACACACTGGTGCCATCTATTGGGAAGCAGTGTAAACTCGGCGGTCCGGCATATTTTTTTTTATTTCTCGCGCATTATCCTTTCTTTCTTGGCTCGAAAAACTTTTGTCAATGTTATAAACGAGCCTTTCTATGGGTATTACGCACATTTGACCTCGGAAATCCCGCAACATTTTCGCTCTTGTGAAATGCAGTTCCAGGGTCACCGCATAGATGGCGCCACAATGCCAGTTTGTTCTCTCATTTTAAAAACATTTAGCAAGTTTTAAGAGAACTCGTCTCTCTCAGTCGTACTCGGTCGCACTCGGTCGCAAGAGTGTGAACGGGCCTTTAGAGTATAGACTCTAGACAATTACACGCGGCTTCGATGTAACACCGCTGCACCGGCACTGCCGTCGCCACAGCGTGCGCGTACATTCCTCACCTGACGTGAGTCTGGTTTCTGCGTACACGAAGTGCCCACCCCTGGCATGGGTATACGCGGCCCTATTTTCAAACAGCGGATTGGCGTAAAAAGGCGCAAAAGGAAACGAAAAAAAAGAAATACGGGACCAGGTAAGTCCGATTCACAAGGCGCAATTTTGCTTGCAAATTTGCAGGTGTGACGCAGGGACAGTGGCGGATCCAAGGGGGGGGGGGGGGGGGGGGGGGCGATCGCCCCCCCAAAACGCCTCGCCAGGCAACCCCCCCCCCCCCCCCCCCCCCCCGGGGTTCTTCGTCAGCTCGAAGAAAAAACGTAAGCAATCGACGCGAGAAACAAAAGATTAAAACAGCGGTGGGTGGACGCGCCTGCTGGGCGCTTCCAAAGTGGGGTTTATCTCCGTCAAGGTCACGGTACGTCTTCCCGAGAGGGACGGAGCCACAAGTTTTGAAGTGGAGAGACAGTGGGGAGGCGCACCAAATATCAGGGTCCTCGACTACAGGCACACTTGCAGACAGGGCCAGTACGTCGAGCACGGGGGAAAAATACTTTCAACATATCTAGTCCCCTTTCTCTCTCTCTCTGTCTCCCTCTCTCTCTTTGGGGGTTGTCTGCGAAAAATTCGTGCCCTGAAAGCTCCCAAACGCAGACGTCAAGCAGCCTTCCTCAAGGGTAGCGGATTATCCTTCCTCTATAGCGGCCGCCTTTTCATCACTTTTCGTTTGATGGTTTCTTCGTGGTCTTGTCTTTTGGCATGTGCTTTTTGGCTTGCTTTGAGATGCTGTCGCCCACGGGCTCACCAAAGGTATCTTATTGGCACGGTGTGCCTATTGCCAAGGGAAGTGCGGAGGGGACGTACCGGGAGGAGACGTTCCAGGGGGGGGGGGGGGGGGGGGGGGGGATGCAGCTTGTACAACCAGGAGACCAATTGCTTTTCTTCTCAACTGAGAGATGAAGCAAATGCTCTGGGTACAGTGTAGTCTGGGTCTGAGCTTCTCCTGAAGACGCTCCGGACTCCCCCACGACCTTGGCTCAAACATAAGCCCGCTTTCGCCCTCGCCTCCATCCCTCGCTGAGGATCAGAGCCGCAGCGCGGAATACAGAAAGAAGCCGACCAGCGCCAGAAGGGGGAGATGTTTCCTCTAATGGGCTTCATACTGCCTGCGGTACGACTTCTCGTGGCGGGAAGCTAATAAAAGGAAGATAAACGGTACGAGCATTCTAAAGGCTGGAGGCTGCTTACACGGGGTCCTCAAGCATTTATTTGTATACAATGCCGTTTCAACTTAGGGTGGCGGGGCCGCGGGACATATTTTAGGAAAGGCGCCCGCTACCCCTTCTCTCCCCTTGGCGCCGTCTTTTCCAGTTAAACGCGGCTTCGGTGGATTGACGGCAGAGCTTTCGCGCGGCTTTGCAGGAGCGAATATGTGTGTGTCGAACGGACTTGGGGAAAACGAGGCCCTTTCAAAGATGCGGCTATACATAAATTAAATAGACAGTGCCTGTGCCCGTTCGAGTGAACACCGACTCCCAAACATCCATGCTCCAGTCGTGATCGGCCTTTAGCCCAGTTGAGATTCGCCGACCTTACAACCGTTCTGCCCTATTATATCTCTGCACCCGTCCTCTCGACCCTGACGAATGAGCTAACTACCCAGAAACAAGTAAGCGTTCCTTTGATACAGAAAATATCCAGACGAAGCGCAATTGAATATAATTTTGAACGATCCATTGCTGGTTGAAGGTCTTGTCTAAGTTCAAATGTTATAGTTGCCGAACTGCAACATGCTTTCAAAAATATTCAACAATTATTCGCTTTCGTTCTCTCGAATTACATCAAGAACACGTGAAAACACGAGTTTGGGTTGGCAATGCCGCATGTGCTGAGCTCTGGACATTCCAAATATACGGCAAACAACCGACGAACTTGCATGGCAGCGTTCGTTTCGCTCGCTGCGTCAACAGTGTTTTCACGCCGCGAGCAGCGTCGAAGTCGCCGGGCCATTTCCAAGGCAATGTCTTTAAGCTGCCCTAAATCGACTGCTCACGTAGTGTCGGTCTGAAACCCAAGTTTCAGAAAGGATAGTGTCACCACAATTTTCTGGATACTTACCTCTAGCGTGGTCACCCGAAAGGTTTTAATTCAAAGAGTTCATCCCCGACAGGTAAACCGGTACAAAAGCTCTCAAGAATCTATATTATGTTGTCAGAGTTTAGTAAAAACGATAACTCGACAAAAAATATAAACAACCCCCCCCCCCCCCCCCTCCCGTTTTACACCGAGGAACCGCACCCCCCTAAAATGGAGGTCTGGATCCGCCTTTGCGCAGGAAACCGCAGCTTCCCCCAGTCTTTTTTTTTTTTTTTTTCTCGCGCACTATAGTCAGTTACAGGTTAAGAAGGTAGCGGCAAATGCCCCTCAAAGGGAATCAGATATCCCTCCGCCACCTCCGCATCCAATAGCGTCCCACCGTTTCCGTGACGTCGCGGCCAACGCGCGAGGAGGGTCTTGCCCTTTTGTACATATTTGCTTTATCTTTCGACTTTGACTTAGCATTGTGGAAGCCACGAGAGGGAGATTAGAGTTCCCCCCTCCGACGGAAACAAATACGACTTTCGGGGATTAGCTTCCCCCCCGATGGATACAAAGGCTGCTTTCAGGGGCTCGGTTCCCTCTCCGATGAATACAAAGGTCGCTTTCTTAAAAAGTGGGATCTGAGACAAGTGGGAATCCATTGAAGCGGAACAAGGAGCGTTTCCAGTGAACTCTTCTTTCGACTGCGGAGAGATTTGAAACAGGCGCATCACACTTGTGGGAGGAGCTTCTCCTACCTTCTTGACTTGTAACCGACTATACACCAACTCATGTTTACAAACAAACCGGAGCGCCCGGAGCGCCCCTAGCGGACGCCACCGGCGCCGCGCATGCGCGATGGGGGTGTGGGCAAAAAGCTCGCCGTCGCCCATAAACACACCATTGAAATGCGATGTTGTCGGCGCCGGTGTGAGTCCCCGCGCTCTTTTTCGCGTTGGAATTGTTGATTCTACGTCCTCCTAACGATGTTTGACTACTTGAGCGGCGTCAGCGAAATTAACGAGGCTAGTTACACCGCAGAACTTCGCGTGAATAATCTGACATGTGGCGATTCATTCCGCGTGGACGCCGCAGAACGCACGCAAAAGCCTGATTCACATGATGAGATTTCGCTCGCAATTTTCAGTAGCAACGTCACTCGGACTGCAAAAGCGTGAACCGTAGCTGAGATGGTCGACGTCTATACTGAAAATCGCAAGCAGAATCTAACCAAGTGAATCACACATAACAAGTCGGTGTTGGCCACTGGTAACAATGATCAACATCTCCTTGTATCTACTGTTTACGTCGAGCCTGCTTACCAACCTTCAAACTTAAGTCTTTTGAGGCCTGCACTTAATTGTTATCGCAAGTACCGGGCCACGTTTGGTCTACGTGCCGGTGTCCTCTAAAAGAGCAGACGACAAGTAGAAACGTTTGAAAGAGCAGACGACAGTTCGAACGATCAGGCGACCGTTTGAACTTGAAGGCGCACTGAACGTAGTCTGCAGGTGGTCCGCACCACTTGACGGTTTTCCGGCCTTCATTTTGGAACAAAACAAATAAATTTGATGGCCAGTAGTATCCGTGAATTTAACCCAAAATGCTTCCCGCCCAAGCAATCGTGGCCCGACGGCGTCTGGTTTTCCCTTTTCACGGCACATATCCGCGTTCTCGGACGAACCGAGCGCATAAAAACTGACCTTCAAACCTTTCTCGACTCTCTTGGTACAGCCCCAGTCGCAGCGTTTTGACGAAAAGGCAGGTTTTTGTCTGGCTTCTTTCAAAACAACGCAGGAATACACGTCTCAAATGGGCACTTCCGCCCACAGCCCCGGACCGGAAGTGCGTCCGACGCGCCACCACCGCGCCGTGACGTAACAGAGATGAGTTCGTGTATAGGCCTTTTCACCCTCCGCCGCATGGGCGCTGCCATCTTGGAATCACGTGATGCGGCCGCCATTAGGTTGCTTCAACTTGTTGCTCCGCTCTCCCGTCCGCGCCTTGGTGGATGCGTTGAATCCGTGTTTTTCGTCGCGTTTCACCGCGTCTCTTGCGCGAAACACATGTACGACGAAACCGTCCGATCCGACGTCCGACCGCGCAATACGACGGTCGGAGGCGAGGGTTTTCAACGCTCTCCGATGCTACGAACACCCTCTCCCCCCAAGGTCATTCCGGCAGTCCGCACGTCGGATCGGACGGTTTCGTCGTACAAAGTGTCGTCCGATACTTATACTTACCATGCAATTGCATTACATCATTATGCGTGCAATTTCTGTAGTTGATTTTGTAACACGTTTTGAATATGTTTTACCGTCGGCGTGCGGGATACGTGTGAAAATGTTTTATAGGAACAGGAATCAGCGTTAGCACTTGCGCACATTTAATACATATATGACTGGAAGAGAGCCTCGAAGGTTCAAATACCAATAACTTATGAGAACTGAGGTTTGGTTACTAATAAGGGCGGAACATTTGCAATAGGAAGCCCAATGTTATTATATATATGAGTGCGCATTGGTGTCAAGGAAGAAAACAAAAACACTCAGCGTAATTAGCCACGTGTTTTTCCTGAAAACATTGTGTTTTGTAGTTCCAACAGATCGAAAACAGTTTCTTTTGATTACACTAGGGAACTAGTGGACAAGGCGCGGGAACAAACATTTAGTTTTAATTATTTTTAATGCTAGAAATAATGGTACCTTAACATTAGGCAACTTGTTTGTTCGCAATATCGCACCTATATTTGTTTTACGTTCTTAATCGCGTCTGTGATATAAGCATTCGCTTTATCGGTTCATTTATTAATTCCACGAAATTGTATATCATGCTTGGTCCCATATCCATTGTCTTTCAGTTGCTTAAGTCATTTTTGATATAACCATGCGGTTTCAATTAATTTATTTCAGCGCAAATATTTGAACTCCCCGCGTAAGAAACTGCCACAGACAGGTTGATAGTGCCTATGACTCATTAAATGTGACGCCGAAAAGAATCCTTCTGCATGAAAATCACCCGAGTGCAGCCGGTTGTCGACTTCGAATAGGGAGTTACTTTCAGTAGGTGGCGACGTCAAAATGTGCAAAGCGCATCCTTTCAAATCAGTGAACAGCTTTCTACAAAGGTCCATTGAATGGCGCCTGGCGTTCGACTTCAGCCAAACTTATCGGAAATCATTTCTTTTGCGCTCTTCAATTTCATTCGGCAAATTTTACGGAAGATGAATATCAGACTTTATTTGAAGTCTGGCATTCACTTATCTCACCATCCTCATACCTTGAGAACGTCGTAAGCAAATGTCCATATAACAAAGAAGTTCATTTCATAAGGCCAATATTTTGAAATTCTGTAAATGAGTTCTCTAGTTAAAGAAATTTTCTAGTCAGCCTAGGCTGGTCTATCAAAATATTTCTCGAGCGCTTAATTTCTTTAAATAAAACAGGCCGAGACAATATCACTTTTTTTATATTATCTACGTGATTATATTAAACTTTTATAGTCATTATAAAACACGTTTCCAGTCTCGAAGTTAGAAAAAATTGGTGTACGGAAACCAAACATCGAACAGTAAACTTGTCAGTTCATCTGTTCTTGGTGATTCAGCAGATTGGTAATCATGTTGTCGACCTGATTTTTCACTAAGCACTCATGCAATATAGTCTGTTGCAATATAAGATGAACAGTTCAATATCTGACTTGAGCGGGAGCTATCTACTTCCGTACCGCTCGGTGCACGCACAGCCAAAGCACGGCGGCTGGCAACCAGAGCACGCTGCAGGCGGAGCTTGTTCTGCTCTTTACTTTTTTTTTTTCTTCTTGAAATTAGTGTCCGCGGGTACGGCCGTGGAGAATGGTACTTTTCCCTGTGCATCAGCGCAGTTGTTTCACCGCCGAACCTGGCCGAAATTAATGATGGACGGAATTAGACGCATATAGTGTTAGTAAAAAAAGATCGCAATTTAAGCTTGAGACCACTTCGTGGTTTGCCAAGTGGCTCAATACTATTGTTTCATTCGCTGTGTGCTACTAGAAGGAAATTCATATCGCAAAATTATTCGAAAGTGGCATGAAACAGCATCACAATCGCGTGTACGTTGAAACCGAAACCGACCAAAATGAAGCAACCTAATGGCGCCGAGTGCGCCCGCGCCCTCTACCCGCCGGTCAGGCAACTACTGGAATGAAAAGGTCTATATATAGCAGCGTCGCAACCGCAAAGTCGCAAGTGAAACCTCACCATGTGAATAAGGCCTCAGAACTGTAGTCATGCGCTTGAACGAAAGACGTGGAGTGCCCGGCCATTTTTCTATCAACTCAATATCAGCGCGGTAAGAAATATTATACGTAAGTGAACAACCAGATGAGCCTTTAATTCAGATGAGCCTTTCACTGCGGCGCGTTTGTCGCAGTGTTTATTTTCTCGAGGTATCTCAGGCTCTAGCAAAAGTACAGTTGCCGCTGCGTGAAGACTTGTTCACACGCGAGAAACGAGTAAGAAAAGTCACTTCGCACAGTTAATTGCTCTTGCGCCCGCGACACTGCCAGCCTCACGCGGATTCGCGCGCAAATTATTCGAGAGTTTCAAACCATCGTGCGCTGCAACGCCTACAGTACACTTGTAGGAATTCGCAGCAATGAAGACGCAAGCAGCGTATTCCGTCACGACACGATGATCACGACAAAACCTGAAACTGAAATTAAAACTAAGTGGTCAACTGCTACCCAGAATTCATTTCGTGCCGCCGTGCCACCAGGGGCGTTTCGATTCGGGAAAAAGGTCTTTTGAAACGGGAGATATATGCACGTTTCTAGGAAATAAGACGTAATTCATATCGATCGATTACTCTTCAACACCCTCTCTCTCTAAATACTTTTTTTTTTTCTGAAAGTTTTAAAAGTTATAATTGCCTCTCTGTTTCTGCCATTCCAAATTGCAATTTGTTTTATATCTTAAATTTTTTTTTGTGGCTGAACACACGGACAATTTTGAAAAATGAAAATAGAGGATATATTAAGACATAAATATTAACAAAACAATTAAACGCAAAATTCGCGTTTATTTCAGCCCTACATTTGGGATATTAGGAGCGTCCATATCTCTCAGTAAGGCAATAGGAACAGCCAACCGAAGCAATCGACGGACGCAGAAGGTAAAAATGTATTAAGAGCTAAAAAAAGAAGTAAGAAACAAGAGCCTGCGCTGTGGCACTGTGCCTGACGTTTCAACATTGCACACTGCCATGGCGCAGACTGTCTCTTTAGACCGAAAAATATTATCAGCTTCGTGATTTGCACAGCCCCTCCTTAGATAAAAATGTTTCGCGGGAAAGTAGACACTCCAGATTCCTCAAAGTATAGAGCTGAGATAGAAACATTACACTCACGCGGGAAAAAAGATAAATAAGAGTCACCAGGTTTTACACTTACTCGTCTATTGGCGAGCTGGGAAAAGTCTTTGACAAGTATCTGCTTCACAATCTCCGGGTCGGATACCATGAGTGCCGGCTTCAATCCTTCGAAAGCGCTGTAATCGTGTATCAAGAGACAGCGAAGCTTCCAGGTAGCACACAGGAGAAACGCCCAACCTGACACAAGCTTGGCAATATGCTATGGGGGCCTAACTTGGGCCTAACGCGATTTCGCTCCAAGTCGTTAGTGAGTACTTTTCTTTGGCTCTTCTCTGGCCTCTCACTGACTCGCCACATCATTGCCGAAGTTCCATACTCGAGCCAAAGATACCACGTTATGAACTAACAAAAAAAACCAGCATTGAAGCATAAATCTAGCACTTGCTTGACCATTGTCAAACAACCAGAAGGTAAACCTAACCTTTGCACTTGTTTGGCGGTTTAGACCGCAAGATGTCAAACGACAGTCAAACTACCCGCAGTGAAGCGCAACTTGTTTGGCGAATCAGGACCAACATATTTAGGCTCCAACCAAAGAAGGTCGAATATGGCTTTATATACTTGGCTCAAACTTAGATTGAGCGCGTTGGTAATAAATTCAAAAATATACGAAAGAGAACACGAAGAGGACGGACAGGACAAACAACATAAAGACCCTAAATTTCCTGGCAAAAACCACATTTTGGCCCAAAAAGCCGCGCTTATACAAGGGCAGGCGGGCACATCTTTGCGTGGCGAACGGGTGCAATACCTACCCAAAGACCCTTCCGTAATCTTCCAGATTTTCCATGTCCCACTGGGGAACAGGCTGCGCGTAAAACGGGAGAACGAACGAATGTCAGAATCTCTGTGGCGTCACCGTCTCCAAAATGAGCATTGGCCACTGACAGCTTTAGAAATGCACGACGTGGCTTGATAGGTTAATACTAATAACAATATTCATTTTCACAACAAGAATATTTCCCTTATCCGAGATTCCAGGAAATGCGTTGCTCAAACCTATCCCCCGTAATTGTACGTTGTCGACATTGGTCGCTACGAAGAATTATGCACCCCGAAGCCGCGCTCAAGCTGCTAATATATCGACAAAATAGAGTCTTCAGGAACTGTCGGAGGCATACGTTCCCTCCTTGTGTGACACTTGTCATAAAAAAAAAAAAATTGTTGCACACTTGTTTACAGTATACATGTTAATAGACCAACCCAACTCTCTGACGTCACACCACTGGTGGCGCTGCTGTCGGTACTGCGCATGCGCAGACGCTTCCCTCCTTCCGAATTTGGTTTCTGCGCAAGCGCAATGCCCACACCTGATGCGGGCAAGGCGGGCTTCTTTCTAAACACTCTGTTGGTGTATAGAACATGCACTCGAGTCCTTTTGTAGGATGTGCGAGCAGTGGGAGATCACAGCTTCGGGCAGAACACAAGGGCACTCTCGGCAAAACATGAGTTGTACTTGCCATGCGTAAAACCTTCAGCATTACTCGGATGCTCTGGAAGAATGGAATGTGTACGACATTTTGCTTCTTCCAGTAATCGGTGTTTCGGGTGACGTACCTGATGCAAGAAACATTGTACTATGAGAAAACAACAAACACAACAGGAAAAGAAAAAAAAAGAAGAAAAAACAACAACAACAACACCGAGCACTGACACGGTGCGTGCTTTCATCTTTAATATGTATCAAAATTTCATATTCTATCACGCTACGTTCCACTAGAAAGGACACCGAAGTAAAATTCACGGGAAAGCCATGCTTTCAGCCTGCCTGGGTCCCAAGTGGGCCCATGCAATGATATCAGCTTGAGTAAAACTACATATTTTCCAGGCTATAGTCCGCAAAAACAAATTAAGGTTCGCAAAAAGAAAATGTTTCTACTTGGACAGCTTGCACCCGGTGACTAGTCAGTGTGATGTCTATACTTTGTTTCAGCTTCGGTCCGAACGCAGCCGATGTTATGAGCCGAAGGGCCAATCAAACAGCAAAAGAGGCACAACGTCATGGCGTGCTCTCTACAGTTGATAGGACCAACCGGTATTCGCCGTCTCTCTGTGCGTGCTCCTCTGCCGGCGTGTCCTACCAAGCGCAGAGACCACGCCATGACGTTGCGCTTTTTGCGCTGTTGGATTGGCCCTTCGGCTCATAACATCGTCCGCGCTCGGACATAAGGTGAAACGAAGTATAGTCCGCACGTTAAACATTCCATACAAGGCACCTTAACCCTGCTTTTATAGTTCACAAAAAAAAATTCCTACATAAATCATTATTGATATAATGTGTCTTTCTCAAACTAAGTCTAATTATAATGACCGATTTAGGAAAAAAATATAGTATGAATCGCAACTGTAGATTGTCCGTGCTGCGTAAATTTTCCACTTTAAAACACGTAGAGTCCGCGGACCCTAGTTCCGAATCTATGATAAATGATTTTGCTCGTAGCGTTTACTTAATTAGCACGAATGGTTAAACGAGGTATTTATTGGTTGATTGATCTATTGATTGTACGTACCCTCAAGCGCCGAAACATTATAAAGGGGGAAAGGTAAAGCAAACAAAAATAAACAACAAAACAAAAAGATGCGGCGAGAAATACACGCATCGAAAATACTCTGATTCGCAAAACTTGAAAGCAACATCTGCTACGAACAACGTAAACAAAAGGAAACGTCTAATGTTGGCTCACGGGGAGAGCGGTGGCTCCGAAAACATTTACATGAAAATAATAAATTATGATTTCTTACGTTACGTTGACCATAATGCAATTTGTACCTTGGCTTTGTAATCGTGCATGAACCTTGCTTATCTATTGCTTGCATTTGATGATAAAAACTACGCGTGCATCTCCTTTGACGAGGAGTCTGGATTATACAGCATGTTAACTAGCGTTTATAAATAAGTGGTGAAACGAATTCTCTACTTTCGCTAAATACTACTTAGAATCACACACTGCACGTTAATAAGTGAATAAACTTGCCTTGGTTTCTCTTTATAAACAATGGCAGTCGCAAAAAAAAAAAAAAGAAATGGACAAATACGAGCACTGTTTATCCCCTCGACTCGGGGCCAGACCAAGCGGCCCCGAGGCCTGCATGGTTCCAATCCTATGCCGCTAACGTTTATCCCCACTCTGAGGTTGGCAAAGTAAAAAAACATGCCCTGAGCTCCAGGCATTGTTAGAGTTCGGCTATTCTCATCACCGTAGTGGTTGGACACGAAACACTATTCCAATGTCCGGAGACATTCATTGTTATGAGCTGAAGTCGAGCGCTCACGCAGTTCTCGTGTCCAATCATGTCCTCCGAGATTTTTCGCGCGCTGGTTTCGCTCCTCAGGCTATTGGGGGCGTTTCGACCTGTATGAGCATCGTACCGGCGTGCGGTCGTGTATCACTACTGCGTGATGCACGTTAAAGACCCCAGGCTAGGGGTTGCACTGCACTTGCTATATTTCTCATCTACAGCTGGGAGACTCGTCGCCCGTCGGAGGCAGACTGTATCGTCTGCCTCCGACGGTCGGCTAGGAACGTGCACACAACCCAACCCCAACCCCTCAGGCTACTGCATTCGCCGGTAGAGACTGTTGCTGCGGGGCGTCTGGTGGCGCTTGCAACCAAACCAAACAATACAAAGGTGCATTTTAGATTAAATACATGCGTTATCTTATCAAAAAGTGCATGTTTCAAGCACCAAGAGCACCGCTGCTTCCTCGGACAAGCAAATCTCGTAAGAAATACCTCGCGCCACGTATGAACATTGCGCAAAACTCTTTTTTTTCTTAAGGTGAAAACGGGTATAGGTAGACAGGACACGTGCCTTCTTTGTAAACATGGGCGCAGATGCGAGGGGGTGCCAGATAGAAAAGACCCCAACACAGAATGCATTAAAACACGAGATGTTACTGACGCAACGATGGTGGCCTTCGGAGGTGATCTACGCGCTAGCTGTTAAGTAGGACAGTGCTTGCCTGGTATTGGATGTAAAACGCGCGTGTGACATTTTTTTAACATCTTAATGTTTGTATGATCAGAGAATTCTGTATAGAGCCGCGAAAATGCGTTACTCTACTGCTATTAATATAGGCTGTTTATGAATCTTTTAAAAAAAACACCGTTTTCTTTAAAAAAAAAACAAGAAAAATAAACAGTGCTAGCTATACACTAATGCTGTCTGTGTCAATGAGTTGTACGGCCAGAGGAACATAATATAACAATTAATCGTTACGGTACGATGGATAATTAACTATAACGTGCTCATTAACGTTTAGCAGTTGAAAATAAACGAATGGTTCTAATCAGAAACATGCTCAGCGTCATCAAAAACAACTAGATCAGCGATTAAAGAATACCTACAGCACGTGGGAAGCACAGGGGTGCGCTAAAGGTGTACCACTCGTGGGGCAGATGCGAGACTTTCCACGCGAAAACGCCCCCGCGCGGTTTTTCCGTCTCCTATCCTCCACATACAGTAAAACCTCGTTATAACAAAGTTGAAGGAGTGGTCGTAATTATTTCGTTATAACCATTAGTTTGTTATAGCCAATGTCCATTTCTTCCCACTATTAGCAAGCAAGGGGAATTATAATTGCTTTGTTATATCCATTAGTTTGTTATATCCCGTTTTGTTATAACGAGGTTTTACTGTACTCTCATCGCCACGGCCTGCGCATTAAGTCTAGATAATTTTGATAGACAGTCAAAACAAGCTCGTGCTCCATAATTCGTTCAAGCGAGGTACAGCTATGACTTGCGAAAACCGTCCGCGACGCCGTGGTACGTTGTGCATGATGTGAAGGGGTAGCGAGGGATGAAGATGACCGCCGTTGGCCACAAATTCACGAAGCAATTATCTTTTCGACGCGAGCGATAAGCAGGATGTTGTGTGCAGCTGCTACGATTAGACAGCGCGCATTCTTGAAGTCATCGCTGCAACAAAGTGTTTTCGAGCTCGGCCGCCTCGAAGGGAAAAACTACGTCGTCATCATCGTTGTCATCAGGGTATACTGTCGAGCTATTATGGCTTTCAGTGTAAGCCGACATCTGCGTTTGTCTGCCTCAAGTCCCACTCCCGTTTCCAAAACTACCTAATGCAAAAAAAAAAAAAAAAATTTTTTTTACTACCTTTATATTTGTTTTATCTCTCTCACTTTCGTTCCCTCACTCTCCCTTCCTCTGTTTTACTGGAAAGATTAATTAAGAGGAAAAAAAATGAATATAAACAATGCGAGAACAGATGCAGCCCATCCAGAAATAGCCAAAGGTCGATAATGCGCACGAGAAAAGGGCAACGAGATGGTGTGCATTTTCGAAAGAACAGAATGTTCAGCCATTTAAGAACGACGAGGGTCATGATGGTCCTTCTGACGTGTGCTTTCGGCTAATCTTGAATTCTTCTTTCCTTGTGTATTTACTTCCTTCTGAAACAAAGTCGACTAATATTTTTTCTCGTTCTTTTGTTTTTCTTGTCGCGCTATATTTCTGTGCCCTCTGAAAAAAAATAATAACGCTTAACATTTCCGCGCGACATTTCCGTGCATAGAGCTGGGAATATCAGTCACGACGATCTACTGCTCAAGGCTAAGCCAATGAGATATTAATGATCATGATAACAGCATGCTTCGGTCTGCCATTAATGCTATCAACCAGTGGTGTGAAATATGGTCTGTGACTCTTAATACTAGCAAATTAAAGAAGAATGCCTGTATCTCCCCAGTCACATGAAACTCACAACTACTTTCTTAATCGGGCTCAGCTGGACACGGTTTCTTCTTACAAATACTTAAGAGCACGTATAACTTCTAATCTCTCATGGAAAACACATGTTCAGCATATCACCTCTAATGCTAACCGTTGTGGGGTGCTTGGCCCGCCACGCGGCGGCGAGTGCCGAAACTAACGGGGGGGGGGGGGGGGGGCGATTCCCGTTAACCGACTAGGAATAGGACGGCCAAGCCGGGCCATGGGCATTGACTGTTTTGTTCTTCCGGGCTCCTGTCAGCCAGTCATTGTACTAAACTATGCCTGAGTCCACGGAACGAGTCGTATGGTCGATCACCTGCGGCGGGCGGTGGAAGTGGAACGCCACACCGTATGTTAGGATACCTCAGGCCTAACCTTTCATTAGCACCTGTTTCTCTCAAGCTAATTTTTTTTTATAAAACTCTAGTTTGATTGAAGTTATAATATGCAGCCTTTGTCTGGGATTCCAGACAAGCCAATCTTATCACCGCGTTGGAGCCATTAAAAATAGATCCGCTCGTTGTATTCTTTCTAATTATCATTATAAATTTGGGGTCACTTCTATGAAATCAACTTTGTCACTTCTGCCGATCTTCGTGCGACGTAAGCTTTTCACGCCTCTCTTTATTTCACAAAATATACTCTTCTAACTCTGTGCTTCGCGAGAAATTAATCACCGTTCCTTTTATATTTCTGCTCGTCATGATAATCAGCACAAAGTTGAGGTACCTATCGCTATCACATCTACATTCCATTCTTCTTTCCTTCCTCGCACGTCCCTCAACTGGAACCACCTTCCCGGACTAATTGAATCCATCACAAACAGTGTACTTTTTAGGTCTGCTCTAACCAATCATTTTTCTGTTGAGTGTAAATATCTGTACATTGTTTTGATCCAAAATTTTTTCTCTCTCTCTCTCCCCCCCTGTAATGCCTTCGGGCCCTGAGGGTAAAGCAAATAAGTAAATAGATGACGAGGCTACGAAAATGGGCCTCATCGAAATACGCTTTCCAGACGTCTGCCCTCAAGCCAAGTTCAGGGGCATTAACGTGATCACAAACGAAGAGTTCGCACTAAGGAGTTTTCGTGGATCGTTTCCGCAGTCCCGCAACGTTTTCCGCAACCGGCTACGAGATCCAAAACTCCGCAGAGAAGGCTAGTGCCGCGCATGCGCAGTAGTGGCATCTTCGTTCCGGAGAGCGTAGCGGAGGTGGGAAAACGATCTACGAAGACTCCCTAACGGCACGACCGCCGCGCTTTCGCCAGAAATACGTGCACCTCACTAAGCCGGCAGTTCCCTTCCTTATCTTTTTTTTCTTTTTCCAAGCGGTTATCTCAAATGAATGCCAATGTTCGTTGCGGTGGGCGGGGTCTCATTTCACGAAACGTCCTTTGCTTTGACAGTGGCAGCTTAACAAACGCAGGCATACTATTATCACTAGAATGCGTTCTCTACCTAGCAGACGAAAATACGACAGCACGCCGAAGGCGAACACTTTGGAAAATGGTGTGTGTCGAATGCCAACTCTATCCGCACAAGTAGAGAGGCGCGAAAATACTCACATGTACAGCAGGACTAGAGCAGTGGCCAATAAAATAATCCAGTCCGGCAATCCAAGGAATCCTAGAAGGCCCATGATTACTGCTGTCAACGAGTCGTGCGAGTTGCGTGAGCGACGCCGCCGCTTCTTGATGACCGGGCCGACTAGTGTGCCTACATTTTAGAGCGTTTCTCCAACTGCTCGAATCGAGGTCACGTGGCTCATGGGCAGCGTGTGCAATACAAGTTGCAAGGAGGGGACCGAAGGCGTCGATCGTCGGCAGGCATCTCTAGGCTTGGCTCACCCTCTACCCCAGCCATCCTCCTTGCCATGTGAAAACCCACGCATGCGCACCAGCAAGGAGGTGTCCGCCATTAAATTACAAGCGCTTTTCGTGATTTTAGTTGCTTCCTCCCTTAAATCCAGGCTCTTTATGCCTAACGATTGAACCTGACGGCTTAATACAGTGTGTGCGGAGTTGCTCTGACGTATACCCTGAACGCGATCCCAACGGCCCGGCGAGACAGCGCCTTGGGCTATTTTTGTCCAGCGGGAGTTGTCGATGTACACACACCGTTGTATTCGGATGTCGAGCGAACGAACGCGGCACGGACCCTCCTATCTGGGTCGTCCGTCAAGGACAGTGGACGGAGCGTGGGCTGAGTGTGTCGTCGCCTAGCGACGCGACTCGTGAGTGAGTTGCCCTTGGAAATAATTGAGGAAAACAGAAAATCGCGCGTCTATCAGATAGCTTTCAGTGTCCCGCGTTTTGAAGAACTTTGATGACAAATGTGAAGCATCGCGGGCGTCCCCTTCTTTTTTTCATTCTTTTATTATATACAAAACATTGTCTGCCAATCTTACCTTGAAAGGATACACCCATCATGCGATTTTTACTTTATTTCTTCATTATTCAGGATCACACCGCTTCTTTATTAACACATTTCTAATAAATAAAATATCGCCTCCCACACTCGCTTTAAAAGGGTACACCAGCGCGCTTTTCTTTTTTCTTCACACAGGCCGCTTTTTTATTTTTTATGAACAGAATCTATAAAGAAAAAAACAGATATCTTCTCGGCGGCAAATTTGCTTGTCCGAAACAATGCTTCATTGTTTCATATCAAAAAGTGTCAGGCAAGAGATATTAATTAATTTAAAAAAATTAATTACAAAAATGACGTTAAACGATTCATTACGTTTTCTTTTTTTTTTTTATTTAACGTGAAAACATTATTTATATTTTTATTTAAAAAATTGACTGTGTGATTATTGTCGTCGACAGTTTGAAAGAAGCGGGGCGTGGCGAGTCCCAAGCATCGAATGATCTCTCCACAGCCAATCACGTTGCAGCATTGGCCGTTAAGAACGTCGAAGGGCCAATTACGAAGTAGGAAGGTAATAGGCCACGCCCGGCGTTTCTTAAGCTCTCAGTAAGTTAACAAAAACAACAAGCGACACTCCTTCTTTCCCAAACCGGGGAAAAAGAAGGGGGCGGGATACTCGCTTCTTTTCTTCATGAGGTAGTTGGCGGAGATGTCTTGCAGACATTTATAGACGTCGCGACATGCATGTCTGCGAAAATGAATAATGACATTACAAACAGTTGAAAACGAGCGTGTTGGTTAATAGATACAAAACTTGAAAGTATAAAACAGAGAGGACGAGGACGGGAACAGGACATCTTTCATTTAGCAACAACATAGAATGGCACAACAATAAAACCGCCCCCCAAGGGTCTCAACGTTCTCAAAGAGGGAAAGGAAATACTAGTTATAAAGGAAAGGGAATACACTAAAAGAAAAGTTTAAAAAGCGCATCAGTAATCTAGTTATTTTCGATTACTTAGAATTAACCTTGGTCATTGTCAGTGATAATGCGGAATTATTCTTGTTTGCAGTCCAAAAAGGAATTGTACTATAAATATAAAAGTTTAAAAAGCTGTAGCGTCACGACGAGGTGTCAATATTCTAGTCATCTCTGGTGTTAAGAATTCGACCTCTGTCTTTGTCAATGATAATGAGGGTGCAGAAATGTTGTTGTTAACAGTCCCCATGGCAAATGACTCGATGATTTCTCTCCCAAATCTGTTATTGTGCCCGCCCAGTATATTAGTATTAGAAAAATGAGGTGTACAGTCATCGCATGTGCGGCTGTGAACGACAATGGGGTGATACGACTCAGTTGAAGCCTTTGATGCTTCCAAGTTATGTTCTCTGAGTCGGTGGTTGACGCATCTCCCAGTCTGTCCAATGTACTGACTGCCACAGCTTAGTGGAATTGAATAAACCTTCTTTTCTTCGCATTCTACGAACTTTTTTGCATGTTTTACATTGCACCCTCGGGGACTGTCGCTCCCATTAACCTTTTTGCACATCTGTTTGAGGCGCATACGACAAGAAAAAACCACCCTCGTGTCAAACTTGGACGCGATAGACCTTAAACGGTGCGCGGAATTGTGCATGTAGGGAATCACAGCGAAACGACCTTTCTTTTTTGAAACAACTGGCGGAAGTTGTGGTTTGATAATGAACCTCTCAAGGGTAGAGCGAAGTAGGTCAGCAGGAAAGCCTGCTTTTTCTAACCTCTGCTGCTGCAACTTAAGGCTACTTTCCGAGAAATGCTTGCACGACTTGGAGAATGAGGACTTGAAAAGTCCTCATTCTCCCTTGAATTAATCCCCCGCTTCGATTCGCTTCATTTTTGTTCCATCCCGCACTCAGTTATGTCTTTCGACATTGAAGATATGTATTACAGCCTAGAACCAAAACTCATCTTAGATTCTGTGACTAATGCAATCCATGAACACGGAATTTGCGACTTTCAAAATTCCTCCGGTGTTTCGGTTGAGGGCTTCATCGACCTGATAGATATTTATTTACAGTCCACTTTGGTAGAATACGAAGGAAATATTTACAGACAAAAGAAGGGAGTTTGTATAGGCTCTTGCCTTGCACCTGTCCTTAGTGAAATATTTCTTCTCTTTGTTGACAGGGCTATCAACGATCAGTTGAAAAAGTCCTTCCAGGGTTGCCTAGTTTTTAGGTATGTTGACGATTACTTGGTCATTTATCCAGACGCTGCGTCCGCTGACAGCATCTTTGAAGTTTTCAAAGACTGTGCGGCAGGGCTTACTTTTACCCGGGAAAATCCTTCAGTGGAAGGATTACAATTTCTGGATTTGCGATTGCATCCTCATTCCTCAGGTGTTTGTTGGGCCTTCCAGCAGAGGTCGGAGAAGCCAGTCCTCCCTTTCACCAGTGCTCACTCCAAGTCCGTTAAGCATGGAATAGTAAGGTCACTTTTCAAGTCCTCATTCTCCAAGTCGTGCAAGCATTTCTCGGAAAGTAGCCTTAAGTTGCAGCAGCAGAGGTTAGAAAAAGCAGGCTTTCCTGCTGACCTACTTCGCTCTACCCTTGAGAGGTTCATTATCAAACCACAACTTCCGCCAGTTGTTTCAAAAAAGAAAGGTCGTTTCGCTGTGATTCCCTACATGCACAATTCCGCGCACCGTTTAAGGTCTATCGCGTCCAAGTTTGACACGAGGGTGGTTTTTTCTTGTCGTATGCGCCTCAAACAGATGAGCAAAAAGGTTAATGGGAGCGACAGTCCCCGAGGGTGCAATGTAAAACATGCAAAAAAGTTCGTAGAATGCGAAGAAAAGAAGGTTTATTCAATTCCACTAAGCTGTGGCAGTCAGTACATTGGACAGACTGGGAGATGCGTCAACCACCGACTCAGAGAACATAACTTGGAAGCATCAAAGGCTTCAACTGAGTCGTATCACCCCATTGTCGTTCACAGCCGCACATGCGATGACTGTACACCTCATTTTTCTAATACTAATATACTGGGCGGGCACAATAACAGATTTGGGAGAGAAATCATCGAGTCATTTGCCATGGGGACTGTTAACAACAACATTTCTGCACCTTCATTATCATTGACAAAGACAGAGGTCGAATTCTTAACACCAGAGATGACTAGAATATTGACACCTCGTCGTGACGCTACAGCTTTTTAAACTTTTATATTTATAGTACAATTCCTTTTTGGACTGCAAACAAGAATAATTCCGCATTATCACTGACAATGACCAAGGTTAATTCTAAGTAATCGAAAATAACTAGATTACTGATGCGCTTTTTAAACTTTTCTTTTAGTGTATTCCCTTTCCTTTATAACTAGTATTTCCTTTCCCTCTTTGAGAACGTTGAGACCCTTGGGGGGCGGTTTTATTGTTGTGCCATTCTATGTTGTTGCTAAATGAAAGATGTCCTGTTCCCGTCCTCGTCCTCTCTGTTTTATACTTTCAAGTTTTGTGGACATTACAAAATATGTTTTTTTACGACCATTGTAAACGCGCCATGCAACTGACATTGAAATATAGAACCTCCCAGAAATATAAGACCTCCTGGTTTTTCATTGCCAACTTCCAGGGACACTGTGATAGACAGCCAGGTGGCGAACCCTGCACACCTGGTATATAAAGAGCACGTCGCACGAGATTAAAACAGATGAACACTGGGCAAGCTTGCGTGCACTCGTCAATGCCCCGCTGTCCCGGGAACTCGCCGAACATTACACTCAGTGGAATAAAAACTTTGCAAGGAAATATAAACATCTTATTTGATTTGCGTTCTGATACCCAGGCAGTAACTGCCTGGGTATCAGACGTCGGACGATATTTTGTCATCGGACGATATTTTGTTAAGAAAAGCAAAAATTGATCATTTTTAAACTGACCTATAGGATTCAAGGAAAAGAAACTACAGAGCTGTAAAATAAAAGCTATACGCGCCCAAATGTTCAATTGCCTCTTACCAATACTTTATCTGTCGTCTAAAATATTTCCAGGAACATATTGATGTTTTTGTTCAGTTGTTGTTGGACATCCAAAAAAGCTGGAAACGTTAAATGCGACATTGAAAAAAAAAAAAAAAGAAGCCAGGGGACGGTCATTGCCTTGTAGCCTAAAAAAATACCCGGCTTTATTTTTAGTCATGAAGTAGAGAATTGGCGTCGTAGACTTGAGGATACAAAGCATCACGGATATCAAGACCTTGAACTTTCATTCACTCCCTGCGGCATCACCAAGCCAACGCTGCTGAGTTCTGTATGCAACGTTGTCTCTCTTGAGCAGGCAAAGCTATACCACTGAAACTCACCGGTACTTACAACATAATACAGAGGCGAGGAACATGAAGTAGTGTTGGACATCTGACCACGTCACGCATAGGCGCGTATATTTACATTACAGAGAAAATGCCACTGGCCAAACAGTCAGTCAGAATTGTCTGTCAGAATTTTGTC